CTCGCTTCGATCGATCTTCTCCACATCGCTTGTCGTTATTTTTTTTCTATTATCTTCTTACTCACGTCGACCCCCTATCTCTCTACCCAAGTCGCTCAATCTCAGCTCTTCTGCGCTCCGCTCCTTCCCTCCTTATTGTCTTTGTTAGCTACTCTACTTTCTTTCTTTCTCCTCTGTCTTTCTCTCTTTCTCTATTCTCTTTCTCTCTTTACGCGGCTCTCTTTCTCTGTCTCAGGTTCTCACTCTTGCTTTTACTGCACATTCTATTCGCCTGTTTGCGGCCGAGGGCTGATTTCTACTTGGACATCGCCTACCACTCTGCGACCCTTCCTTTATTATGCCATTCAGATTCATGCTTAAGAATCAAACGGGTTCTCAGCTGACCAATATAGACGAGGATTCCTTAGATTTAAATCCATTTCTTTCGGCACATCGCTCGCTAGAACGCCACGAACCATCCCGTTTCTCCGCTGGCTTAAACTGCGAACAGTTTTTAAGCGCGTTTACAATATACCCCGTATACATCCATCACCTTCAAGCCGTATAAGAGATACTTTTTCTTGATTTTGTTTTATCGAACGCGTTACGTGGAAAGTCTTTTAGTTCAGCTTCATTTCTGCTAGCTAGCGACAGTCGCGTAGCTAGAAGGCGAAACACCACTCCACCCAGCATCAAGGCAGGCCGGCATGTTCCCCGCTTATATACGGCCGCCATGTCCTAGCCTGTACGTATACGGGCCGCCAATATCCTCAGCTGTATTCTATCGACATTAATTTGGTGGAGCCTTGTGCGCTCGGGCCATCGCGCTACGGGTGACCCAGGAGTCCAGTATCTAGGAAGGCTGATGACGTAGGATGACATTGAAGAAACGCTTCGTCAGCAATGATCATTCATAACAGCCGACGTCATTCTGTCTTATCACAGAGAAGTAACGTGCGTCTAATATAATGATGCTCAGGATCTACGCATTGAGCAGGGAACCGGCCAGTGCATGTCGCTCTGATTACATCGATTGAGTGATTGGACAGGATGACTCGATATTACGAGGAGTATTATTATATAGGAATGCATTTAGTGTTAGCACTTTAGTTATTGTATTAGGTAAGCTGGACAGCAAAATATCTTGTAAACTGCGTGACAGGATAACTGGTATGGTTAACCAACATAGACTCATTGAGCAGAGGATATGATTTATGTATCGATCAGTATATATATATATATAATATATATATATATACTATATACTAGTATCTATATATATACGTATACTATATCTCAGAAGTAGATAATAGGGAACTTATAGGGTTCCCTAATATCTACTTCTGATATAATAATATACCATATATATATAATATATATATATATTAACTATCACGTGGGCACCAACTCTGCGACGGCAACAGAAGGCGGCGTGCGACTTGTATTTTCGCTGCTTAGGTCGGCTAGGATTCTGTGGACAATTGAAACGAAGCGGAAATGGGTTATAGCTAGTTAGCGGGATCGAGTGGCGGAATAATCAGGTCGATGTTCCTCTAATAAGGGATATCAGTCGATCTACAACCACAACTCGCCCCATTCAATTACCGCGCCACCAATAATAGCCACTCTGAATCTTCGCCCTGCGAAATTTCAAACGTGCTAAATCTTCACCTTATACTTCAGATTCGAATGCTCATAATCATTCTAACTAATGAATTACGCTTTTGCACTTGTGAGCGTGAACAAGCGTCAGCTAAATTTGCAGACAGATCAAGCCTCCTTACGCATAAAACAAACGGCGAATTATAGAAGAATCGATTTCGAATAGGTTCGTCTTAAACAAAGATGACGAGGAGATTTGTATTAGCGGATATCTAAGTACAATCGCACGCGTCAATCTCTCGTTTGCCGGGGAACTGACCTATCGATTACTCGCACCCCTGACTCATTCGCTGAGCGCCAACATTTACATTAGGAGTGAAGGAAAATCTTTGCTAATTTTAAAACGATAATTCGATTGGCGTGCTGAAAATTTACGCAATATGCGAGCTCACGCAGCTGCGTTCACACAGTCGAACAGATCACAATGCGAGATCGAGCTTAATCACTCCTCTACGTCTCGTAATGTTTTGCCGCCGGCTGTTGATGGCGACTATTCAAACGATGAACGGCTACCGGGTTTTCGCTCGTGCAGAGCAACATCAGACAATATCTGCTCTGTACTATACTGCGCGCACGATCAGAATTTGAGAGGGACGTTAGAGCACGGCCGGCAGTTCTGCTGAAGTTCAGCGTCCGCTAACTCATTAGTTGCACGCGTGAGTCCAGTCAACGCGCGCCGTCTGCGATTTTCACGACACCTCAATCATTTACATCTCCTCTCTCCTTCTCCCTTCTCGTCTGGTTTTATGCTCTCCCCTCTCTCTCTCTTTCCGTCGATTTCTCTCTTGCGTCATCTCTACTCACTTTCTTCCCTTCGCTCGCTCTCTTTTACTCCTTCCCCTCTCAGTCTCTCCTCTCGCCTCTCGTATTTCTCGTTACTTCCTCCTCTCTCCTCCTCCTTTTCTCTCTCTCTCTCTCTCTCTCTACTCTCTCTTCTCTCTTTCACTCTCTCTCCTCTCATATCTTTCTTCTCCTCTTTCTTCACCTCTTTCTTCACCTCTCTCTCTCTCTCTCTCTCTCTCTCTCTCTCTCTCTCTCTCTCTCTTTCTCTCTTACTTCTCCCTTCTCTCTATATATATATTTTTTTCTCTCTTTAGCTCTCCTTTTTTCTCGCTCTCTCTCTCTCCTCCCGTTTCTCTCGTTTTATCTCCCTCTCCTAATCTCTCTCTCTCTGCCTCTCTGTCTCTTCTCACCATCCACTCCTATCTCACACGGAAGCAGCAGAGCGAACACGCCGACACGCTGTCATTCACACTCGCGCTCCTCGGATTGCAATTTACCTAGAAGCACCACAGCCAGGCTACTGCGCGATCCCGCTGTCTCGCTACAAATGCCACGCGAAGCCCTGCTGTGTGCTCGCGGCGTGTGCCGGCGCGCGGGGTCGCCTGTGCGTAGGTGCGCGCCGAACAATATACGATCTTAACGCCTCAACTAGCGCGATTGAAGCGATTTAGCGCCTCAGCGGTTTAATGTCGGTGTCGAATAGAGAAAGAGAGAGAGAGAGAGAGAGAGAGAGAGAGAGAGAGAAAGAGTTGCGAGACAAAGTCGGCGAGTCGTGGGTCTAATGGAGTTTTCCACCGGCTGGATATAGCTGCGAGAAACAGCCCGAAGTTTTATTACGTGTAGATTTATATTGGTTACCCGGGAAGCGTGGGGAGGGTGGGGGGGGTGTAGTCGGAGCGAAGGAAGCCATAAATGTTAGCACGTAATGGGTTGCGTCTGTGCGTGCGTCGTCCTGTGCGCGCGTGCATGTGCTTGTGTGATCGTGCGTCAACGTGCGTGCGTGTGATTATGCGTACGTGCGTGTGCTTGTACGTGCGTGCCAAAGAAGGTTGAACTGCCTACAACTCAAACTGCAACATAGAGAACAAACTACAACTAGATTTGTCTATATTTGTTATATTTGTCGTTGTGTATGTTCAGTCCTTTTACGCCCTGGTCACAACGAGCCCACGGCGCATTTGTGCAACAACACGACAGAAAATTTGGGCAAATCGTGGGTCATCGGGGTCGTCGCAAGACAGTTCTACGAAATTTTGAGCATCGTGGCATCGACTTGCCGTCGTGAGGCAAAATTGAACATGCACCTTTTTTGTTGCACGATTTTTTGTGGTATCTATGTCTTCTAGTTGTCGTGAGTCTGTCCTACAACAGTCTTTCGACAGTCTTGCGACTGTCGTGCGATAAATATCTTGTCGTGGGTACCAGAAGAAATTTTTTTTGTCAAAACAATCTCACGACTATCGCGCGACTGTCCTACAACTGTCTCACGGCTGTCGCAGGACAGTCGTGAGACAGTTGCAAGATTGTCTCACAAATATTATATTTCGTAAGAGGCTCGCACAACATTGCAAGTCTGTCGTGCGTTAGTCTTGCGTTAGTCTTGCAACATATTTTCGTTTTTTGAGGGGTATATAGCTCGGGCGAATGAACGCTTGGAATTAAAAACTGCCTGTCGGCGCTGAAAGAGGATGGCTATTCCACCTGAGCGACTACGCGTGGACCTGCTGAGGGGGCGTCTGGAGGAACTCCAGCACGAGCATAATATAGTGCTGTTGGCGTTGATCCGGGCCCGGGAGCAGCGCAGGAACCGGCGAAACCCCCGATGTTGGTGGGTTCGGCCGTGGATCGAGCGGCGCCTGATGTTTGGGCAGTATAGTACTCTGATGCAAGAGTTGGAGCGGGAATCTGCCGGTGACTTCGTGGGGTTCATGCGGATGAAGTCTGGCATGTTTCACGAGCTGTTGCTGAGTGTCGCCCCTCGCATCACCAAGGGCCAACTGCTAGGCTTACCACCTTTCTCTTGTTGGTTTTCTTCTTGAGAGGCATCCTGGATACTAACTTTGATTAAATGAAGTGACAAATGTCAAAAATTCGGGCAGAACTTCGATGTATCCACTGGAAAATCTCTGCAACAAATGGCAGGCAACAGACCGGGCCTCGTTATATAGTCGTGAGACGGACGCGCGAGTGACCCACGAGTGACCCACGAGTGACTCACGAGTGACCCACGAATGACCCACGACTGTTGTGCGCCAGTCGCACGACTGTAGCACGTGCATCCCACGAGTGAACCACGACCTGTTCACGTGAAAAACAGCCCCCCGACAATGCCCGACAACTCACGACTGACTTGCGACACACCCTCGACATAACCACGACATATCTTTTTTTTTCTGTCGCGTCCCCATCGCCAAACCATCTTTGATGTGTCGTAGCCTTTGTGACCACTCGAAATACATTTCGGGCATGTTGCAAGATCTGGCCACGACAAATATTTTATGGGTCCACCACGACAAAATTTCGTACGATCCGTTGTGACCGGGGCTATCGTTGTCACGATTGCTGCACGTACTTACCCAGCAGATGCGGCATGAGCAGCTCGATGTAGAACACTTCGTTCTTTTCGTATTCTTCATCGTCGACAATCTGAATGTTGATGAACTCCCTGTATAGAAAGCAAGCAAGAGGGCGCGGTCAGTAAACGGGGACGCCAGAGTAGAATCACGAGCATGCAGGGCGCGGTCAGTAAACGGGGACGCCCGGGTAGAATCACGGGCATGCAGGGCGCGGTCAGTAAACGGGGACGCCCGGGTAGAATCACGGGCATGCAGCGCGGGCCAGTAAACGGGGAC